CGCACATGGGGTCTCCATGAATCAAAGTCAACTCCGAAGCAGCTGGTATTGTGCTTGCATGTTTGATAGACAAGGCTTTCTCTTTTTCCTCAAAAAAATGTGACTTTTGTTTTTCCCTTGACCAGTGGTTTTAAGTGAACTATAGATCAGCTGTATGATGGGGTTAAAGAATTCGGATGAAATCATTAGGAGTCATAGATAGATAGATAGGTAGATAGATAGATAGATATATGAAACAAAAGTGTATTAATGGTGGAGGAATGATGATGGAAAAATCGCTTTGATTAAGGGTAAGGTTGCACAGCTGATTATTGTAAAATTACTGTTGATGAGTTGGACACCTGTAAAAAATTAGATTGGCAAAAGTTGTATGATAGATATATTTCCAATAATGACTTTTAAAAGATGTTAATGCTGTGGTTGTTTATGTACAACTAAGCACCTCATGTGATTTGGTTCCTTAGTTGGGAAGTTTAGGGATGTGGTTTCATGGGATTTCCCATTGACTGCCTCCTAGTTCATGTCCTTGATAATTAAGCCCCAGTGGCAAGCCAGGCTTTTAGTTCTTCAGGAATCTTTACTGGACTTTAACTCTGTCCATGAATGTTTCCTCTTTTTCAATAGCTGGCCCTTTTTTCTGAGGACGCTGAGATGTCTCATGGATACTGCCAGCCATCTCCATTTCCAGATGTTTTCTGTTCACTCTTTGTTTTCATGAATGTCTGAAAATCTTGCAAGTAGCCATCTCCGGCACAACAAGTGGATTCTACTCACCTCGGCCCTTCTTGGTGGTCCACGTGGTGATGTGGGAGGAGGAGAGGGCAGGAGAGAGAGGGAGGGAGTGGGGAAGGAGGGAGAGGGAAGGAGAATCAAAGGAGAGAGCAGGAGTCTTATTTTAAAATTTGGATGGATGACCTTGAAAATATAAAAAGATACATTCGAACAACTGGTTTTGAAGAGTAAAGATGACAGCTGCCAATATGGATTATGATTTAACATCATCTAAATAAGTGGATGACATCATGATAAATGGAGAGAAGATTGAAGTCATGAAAGGCTTATTTCACTGTGATAGTTACGTAATATGGTGTCAATTTGAGGATTCAGAGTGAAGGTGGAGTCTAGCCTGTCAATCCAGTTGGAGCTTGATGACCTCATTTAGAGGCACTAAAGGGATAAATAGCTCGCTGGAGGAGCGACACATACAGTCCCTGCAAGACATTCTTGTTGACAAGCTACATGGACACAGGCTGATGGCAGTCAGAGCTTTAGCTGAAGGAACCACGTGGAGATAGATCCCTGCCAGTGATGAGATACCTCTATTGCCACTGGATCCACAAGACGTTCTACCTACTGGCCTGTGATCTTCCTGCATTCGGCGTCATTGCATGTGTTTTGTGAGTCTGAAGAGGATTTATAAACTGGGACTGGACATATGGGCTAATATCGGACTTATGGGCCTAGACTGGACTGGGCTGGGATGCTTTCTTCATGTACAATTGCTCTTGTATACAAAGCAGTTTCTGATACACATACAAGTGTTGATGAATTTGTTTCTCTAGTCTATCAGGACTAACACCTTGATCCAGAATCAAGGTCCATGAAAGCAGCAGTCTAGAAGTCAAATGAGGAATCACGCTGGGTCTGTCTGCTGCAAAACAATCGCTTTAAAGTGTTAAAGAGCAAAGGTATCACTTTGAGGAAAGACTAGGTGTTATTCTTAACTGACTCACATGCATTATTCAAAAACTTGATAATTAATAAGAAAGACCAGAGAAGAATTTATGCATTTGATTATGGTGTTGGTGAAAAGCATTGAATAGATCATGGGCTTCCAGAAGAATAAACACAGCTGTCTTGGGAGAAGTACAGCCAACACAGAATATTCATGACTGCATGACTTTGTCTCACATACTTTGGACACGGTATCAGGAATTTTTAGTGAAGAAGATCATCCTCGGCAGAAGGTAGTTGTCAGTGAAATGTATCTGGATCCATGTATGAAATGAATCATAGCTTCGCTGAGGTTAGCACGGGGCTCAGACGTATCAATGACTGTGGAGGTGGTGACAGACTGGGCCATCTTCTGCTTTCTTTTGGAACTGAATCAATGGCACCGAACAACAGCGGTTTTCAAATCCCAAAGGCACTTAGTACCATGGGTAAGACCAATGCCCCAGAGAAACTGCAACGCAGTCAATTACTTAATCTAGCTCTGACAGCCATAGTCCTTGTCACTCTCATCAAAACAACCTTCATTTTCCTGCTGGGTCTTTGTAACAAGGTGGGGGAAGACCCTTACTGGATTGTATGATTCAGCTACGAATGACTGTTAGTAGGGTTAACTGTGATTGTCATCTCGTTGGGTATGGGAAAACCAGCCATTTCAGAAGCAGATGTTGGAGTGTCTCAGTAACTGTGAGCAAGGAGTCGAGAATAGACTGTGTCCTTTGAACCCCCAAATTCCTATGCACTGAACCCCCTTGATCCAAAAGACAGCTTTGGCATCAGAGCAGCAGCAACAGCAGTAGAACCAGGAGGCAGAGTGGTGAACTTCATGGCTATTCAGCAAGCAAAGAAGAGTGCTTTCAGGCAGGAGGCTGGCTTGTGGAGGGCAGTCCCTTTGGGCACTCTGACCCAGAGCTGGAGCTGAGTGATTTCAAGCTGAGGCTTATGGTGAACTGGCATGCCCTGTTGGCATTTACTGGTAGCCCTAACAAATCATCGCTCAAGCAGGGCAGAGGCCAGGCCAAGAGGCAGAGGGCCAGAGAAGGGCCAGCCTGTGGACGTGGGAGAGAAGACACTGTCCTGAATGAACAACTATATCCTGAGCATTTCTCACATGAATTAGAACTCATTAACTTACCTAGTAAACACCATAATCATGAGCATCATCTGAATTTGGTGTGGCCTCTGCAATGAATTATCACCAAGCTGAAAAGAACAGAACAGAAACATTGCTTCAAATAGCAACTAATACAGTCACTCATTCATTCTTTGCTGTGAGGCATTGGTAGTTCAGAGTTAAAATTCTTGCATCCCATATGGGAGACCTGGGTTTAATTCCAACCAATGTACCTCGGACACAGCCACCAACCCATCTGCCGATGGTGGTTTTCCAGTTTGCTGCTATGTGAAATAGGTTTCAGAGACACTTCCAGTCTAAGACAGACTAGGAAGAAAAGCCTGGAGATCTACTTTTGAAAACCAGCTAATGAAAACATGGACCTGACAACCCACAACCAATCATGGGATGGTGCAGGCCCAGGTAGTTAGCTACCAACTTGATGGTAGCTAACAATACGCACTCTGTAATAATTAAAGGACACTTGAAAACTCCTTATTTTGGAGGTACCTTACAGATGAAGTTTATGGATTTTCTAAATGGCTCCTATATAAAAGACGTAGATAAATTTTAGAAATGTCCATAATGCATTAAGTTCTTTTTTTTTAAGCACTACATTCTTATTTTCATGGAAAAGGATGGAAGAGGATGTATTGTTTTCCCACTCGATTTCCTTTAAAGACTAGAGGGAAACTTCTGTCTGCTCCTCAGGAATCTGCCAGGGTAGATTCCTGACATTTTCAGGTGGTGTAGTGGGTTCTGCATTGGGCTGCTAACCACAGGTCAGAAGTTCCATGCCGCCCGACGCTCTGCGTGAGACAGATGAGGCAGTTTGCTCCCACAGATATACAACCTCGGAACCCCCAGGAGCAGTTCTACTCTGTCTTATGGGGCCGTCGAAATGGACTCTAATGAGACCTTATAGGAAAACCTCGTGGGAAATGTGTGCATGATCTAGAGAGGGCAGCTCCTTCCTGCCTCAATGTGTCAGCTGGTGGGCCAGAGCAAATCAGAAAAATAATGGTCATTGAACATGTTTTGTTTTTTGTTTTAATATTTATGAACACTTGCTCTAAAACAGGTTCTGTGGTGGGCCTGGGTGAGGACAGACAAGATTTAGTCTTAGGCCGAGCATTTGGAATTTAAGGTTTAATTCTAATTGACCTTTGCAAATGAAAAGCCCTTAATCAATTTGAAGACTAGTGACCCACGGCTAACCTCCAGGAGGGTGAAAAATCAAATCCACCTAAATTGAGCATATCCCTCCAGCCTCCAGAGAATCTTGCCACTTATTTTCCCACCAGGGATAATCTCTGCAAATCAGGTCTACGGATTTCTTTCCTTTTCCCTGGGGCTAAACTCTTGGAAGTCAGTAAAATGACTAAATTGGGTGTCAGAACCAAACCTAAACCAAACTCACTGCCATCGAGTCAATGCTGTTCAAAGCGACCCCCTGTGGGTTTCCGGGACTGTTTACGGGAGTAGAAAGCCCAGTTTTCTCCTTTGGAGCTGCTGGTGGCAGCCCAAACGCATAACCACTACCCAACAGGGCTCCTTGGGTGTCAGAACAGTAGGCACTAATCCGGATTATAATCCCCTAAACCGTTGCTAAACGTCTCTCCGAAACTCTGCTCTGAACTGCAAAAACGGTAAACTAGATCGTACACCCTGCACAACACTTTCTCGGAGAAGGGCAGAAACACGAGTTTGAGAGCCCTCCCCACCACCAGGGACCACGGGAACCACGCCCTCCCCGCCTCTCCGCAGTCGGAGCGAAGTGCGCATGTGCACGGTCAGACCCTGCCCGCTTCCCGTCGCTTCCTTCCTGGTTTCGACCCCGCCCCGTCACGGAGACCATCATTTCCGGTTCCGCACGGGAAAGGCCGGAGCGCTTCTAGTCTCGGCTTCCCCGGCCCGCCCACTACTCAACGCCCCTCCTGCCTTCTCGGTCGCTGGGGAAGGTAGTTGCCAGTAAAGTTTGGGGTTTCGGCGCCGTGCGGGTCGCAGCGTGGCCTGCGTCCGCCTTGCACGTAGCCTGCCACCGCGCTCGGCCGCAGGCAGCGAGCTTTATTTAGGTCGTCATGGCCAGGGGCCGCCGCAGCCGGGCGGGCGAGAGGCGGCCTTTTGCTGCCGGAGCGCTCCCGGGGCTTCAGAGCCGGCCGTCGCCGGCCTTTGCGTGAGCGTCGCCCCCTCCGTGCCCGTGGACCCCCGTCGCGCCGGGCCATATGGCCTCCGAGGTGCCGTCCCAGCCGCCGTCGCCTTCGTCGTCGCCACCCACTTCCCCCGAGCCGGAACTGGCCCAGCTGAGGCGGAAGGTGGAGAAGTTGGAACGCGAGCTGCGGAGCTGCAAGCGGCAGGTGCAAGAGATCGAGAGGCTGCTGCACCACACGGAGCGGCTGTACCAGAGCGCCGAGAGCAACAACCAGGAGCTCCGCACCCAGGTGCGCGGTCCGCCGCCAGCCCCGCGCCCCGGCCAGCCCCAGGCGAGGCCTTCCGAGCCGCTGCCTAGCCTCCAGCGCCTGCATGGTTATAGAACGACTGACTGTACAAAGTACTTGAAATATTGAAAAGCCAAAGAAATCCACCTCGGCGCAGTAATTCTAGGCACTTTCGGAGCATAACTTAAGTATTCGGGTTACTCGATTTTTAAGTGTTGGAGTAGCGGTTATGGCTGGCCGGAATTGAATGGAAATGTTTTGGTTCGATGATGCCCATTCTCACCTGTAGCGCCCCTTTGGCAGTTCATTTGTAACAATTTTTTTCTGGATCATTTCTGAGCTTGTTAAAGCCCTGGAGTTAATATCAGGAGCCCCACTTCATCGCCCACTCACTAGACTTGTGATGTGAAGTTCAAATCAAGTGTAGAACCATTCCACAAACCCTCTGCCACCAAGTGGATTCCAATTCATAGTGACCCTAGTAGGGAACCCAAGAATAAATCGTTTTAGGATGAAACAGCCTCACCATTCTTACAGGAAGTGGCTGAGGGGTTTGGTTCACAGATCTTGCTGTTAGCAGTCTGGTGCTGGAAAAGGGCACACATTCCAAATGCCACCTCATAAAAACCCCAAAAACCTGTCACAGTAAAGTAAATAATTTTAAAGGTTGGTAAAGCAATCCAATCCTAGTTTCCAAGGGGAGGGACAAAAAAATTCACTTTTTTCTCCTGTTGCCAGGCTCAATCTTTCTGCTCATCCCTCGTGTGCTAGAGGCTAGACACATAAGTTCAAGTTAGTGCCACATAAAGCTAATTTAAATTTAACACTTTGTGGCATAATGGTGGATGTACTGGGTGGCTAACTGCAAGGTGAGCAATTTGAAACCACTAGCCACTCCTGAGTGGGAAGACAAGGCTTTCTACTTCTGTAAACATTTACAGTCTTAGAAACCTACAGGGGAAGTTCTATTTTGTCCTATAGGGTCGTTAATGAGTTCTGATTGACTTAATGACAATGTGTTGAATCCTAAGGCACCCTGGTGGCATCTCAGGTTAAATGTTGGCTTCTCCCCAAAAGATTGGTGGTTTAAACTTGCCAGCTGGGATAAAGATGTAACAATCCACTCCTTAGAATATTACAGCCTTTGAAACCCTATGAGACACTTCCCTGATCTATAGGGTTACTGTGAATCAGAATCTACTCAACTGTTACAGGCTGGTTGGTTTGAGCTCTTGAACATCTACAAAGCTAGTAAGGACCATGCTAGGAAAAGATGCCTCGTGGTAAAAGTAATTATGCAAAATATAACAAGACAGAAAGTCCTGTTTCCCAAAGGGGAATATCATCCCCTGGGGGCACTGAGATGATTGGGGGGAGGGGGTGCTGCCAAAGCAGATACCTGAACTTTATCCTGGATTATGAGCTATAGTACAAAAGCTTTTAATTGCCAAGGGGATACTGAATAACTTTTTCTGAAAAGAGGGTGATTGGCCAAATACAGTTAGGCAACTTTGGTAAATGGTTAAAATGTTGCTTGTTATAACCAAAAGCCTATTATCATTGAGCCAGTTCTGGTGAGTGATTCTGTAGAGCTTTTGAATGAACGTTTGTACTAATCTTTGAAGAGCCACAGCATTTTGGATCTGCTAAATTGATATCTATCATCCTACCATGAGAAATTGAAATGCACCAGGCAACTTCACTTTACTGCTGATAATCATAACTCCTCCCTAGTCTCTTAAGGAGCGCTAGTGGCCTTTCGGTTGAGGTTTTGAGCTGCAGTTCAAATTTACCAGCTGCTCAGAGACAGTTGAGGCTGTATGGGAATCAACTTGATAGCAGTGGATTTGGGGGGAAGTTCTCCTTGTCTTTCATGGTCGCAGACAGAGTAGAGTTTTGTTAGTAAGCCAAAGTAATTGTGTTTAGAGCAGTAAACGGCCTGGGACTTGAGAATGAACGAGTAGGAAAACAGTCTGCACAAGCTTTGGAGTTAAAAAAAAAGTGTGTAAATAGATGCTGTCGCGCGGGGCAGTTCATACCTTGTGGTTTTCATCCGTTGGTAAAGTGGAGGTTCAGACATCCTGACAGTGAGTGCTCACATTTGGTGCTCTGGGTACCTTGCTTGTTTCACCCCAATCCTCGCCCAGACAGTTACATGAAACACTGAAACCCACTACCGTTGAGTCCATTCTGACGCCTAGTGATCCTATATTGAGTTTTCAAGGCTGGAAATCTTCATGGGAATAGAAAACCTCAATTTTCTCCTGAGCTGTTGGTGGGTTCGAACTGCTAGTCTTTTGGCTAGTACTCCACTCCTGGTGATTCATAAAATATCCAGGTGATCCGTTTGTTCACAAGTCTTACAAGCTTTACGCATCATTAAATGCTTTTGGTTCTTTTCATGCTTATATGAGACTAGGTGTCTCATTTTGAGGTCCTGTCAGACTGAAAATATTGACTGAGCCAGCTCCCTACTCTTTCCCTGGCTTTTGTAGCATCCTTTCAATGTATAGGGCACACGGTTCCCTTCAGAGTCACCTGTACCCTTTTCCTGTAGCTCAGGTGTCCTCAAACTACGGCCCGCGGGCCACATGTAGCCCCCTGAGGACATTTATCTGACCCGCCGGGTGTTTTTGCCCCATTTGTTTTTTTTTACTTCAAAATAAGATATGTGCAGTGTGCATAGGAATTTGCTCATAGTTTTTTTTTAAACTATAGTCTGGCCCTCCAACGGGTCTGAGGGACAGTGAACTGGACCCCTG